CTACATAATATTAAATCTGAATATCTGATAACACATACCGCCGCTTCCTGCATTACCTGCAAAACTTACATATCCTGCAGATATCTATTTGACTGATATGGGCAACTCAACTTTTAAAATATTTACATAAATATTGACTCTATTTAGAACAAGACAGAGGTACAAAAATACCTGCCACATTTGTTGCTATATCAGATTTTASAAATGCGACAAAATTAAAACCTTTTCTATTTTTATTTCAAGTCAACTAACTCAACTATAAATTAATAATTGAATCATGAAATCGAATTAATATTATGTGAAACATTATGAAATGAAACAACTATGGCTGGTGTATTGTATTTAGTTAAGTAGCAGTCTATAAAATCGTAATTAAAAAATATTCATTTAGACAAATCACAAAAAGTATTATAGAAATAGCACATTCTGTAGGTACGTTAGTTTTGGTCGGCGGAGTACGCGTAGCTAACTAGGCGTCGTGGTCTCGGTGACGTGATTTATGATGGTGCGCTAAAATATTTGAAGTCCGAACCAAAAATATGTTATCAATCACGTGTATTCACAGGTATTTGATACGTATACCGCAAGTACCTATGTACGGTCATATATGTATAATATAAACGCACGTACTTTTATGCTTGACGCGGTCTATAACGAATTGTTTGTTGACTGTCTTAGAAACAATCTTGTTAAGTGTTTACTGTCGAGTGTATGAAATATACAATAAATAATATAGTTATCATGCTAAAATAACGATTTGATTTTGGTTGCTTAAACTTTTTTTCGTTCTATTGACGCGTTTTCGTTATAAAATAACGACTATAGATTCGACTGTTAATCTCAGTGTGTCTTTCGCCGCGATTAAAGTAATTTTAAAATATATTCCACGATACGAGTAAGGTGTCACAGGTACGTTATACGAAGTTAAAGCTGACGTGATTAAAGTAATTACGGGTAGGTACAATTGAAATAATTAAATGTTTTCAGTATCGGTACCTAAAAGAAATGAAAACGTTCCTGTTCTGGTTTCGGTACGATTCTTAGAATGAAACCAATGATTTCTGTTTGCTAAAGTGGAAAAATAATTTTTCTAATGCGTACTAAATACCAGTTTCATGGTTTCTAAAATATTTGAATAAGTCTCGGTACGATAGGTTCCGATGCCTTTTATAATGTAATTTACTATAATGATTTTTGATTAGATTTAACGTATATATTAGAACTTTTGTTACTTCTTAATATAATTATAATCATAATATATTGAACAAAATACTGTTAATTATAATTTATTAGTTATTTAAGAACCCTTGATTATATGAAAGTATTATAGAGACGAGTAGATACGAGTATTATACATAAAACATAAATTTACATAAATGTACATTATATAATAGGTCTATATATCATATTATTAGTTGACACATGGCGGATAGAACGGCACAACGTTCGTTTATTTTCTTAAAAAGCGTTGTAAATCATAATAATACAATATGCACCTATTATATATCTGTCCGATACGTCAGATTTCGTGAAATAGGATTTCCAATTTTTACGTAGTCCCACACTAAAGGTAATAGTAGTGTGCGTATACACTCGCAGCACAAAACGATGTATTATGATATTATTACTTGCGCATAGACGTATGTAGCCATGTAGGTATTATATTATATTAAAATCTCGAGACACTTTTTAATAATACAATATATATTAATAATAATGTATATTGCAATATCCATTGTGTGTGTTCATTATTATATTATATGGCATAAGTCTATTTTACGGGGATAATGTTTTGTCGATACGAAATTCGCTGAAACATTACACACAACACCTAAGTGATTTATTATTCATAAAAAAATATAAAAATATTTATTATCTAGAAGAACGCGTGGATAGTTTCTGTGTAGAAAATAATTTCTTTAGGATTGATTTCCGTCTTACGATAACTGGCGTTGTGCAATCACTGTTTGCACAGAAAAGCGTTTCCATAAATCACGTCGCGTATAATAATGATAATGTGTGTTTAAAATTATATCATAGATACGTAATTATTAGGTATTAATAATATTGACGTCATTGGTCGTGGAATTGATGTGAAGACACCATTGATCATAATTATTATATTATTATAATATACATCTACAACAGCCGGGTTCGGTTTTTTTTTTTTAAGTAGTTGTATTCACGCGATGATGTTATTATTATTACATATTAATATATTTATTAATAATTTCTGAATATTATGATCATCAAACGTAACGCAAAGGAATACCGAGGAAATATTGTATTTATGGTTCGTAGACGCTCGCTATAGACAGAATATAATATGCAATGGCTATAATAATATTATATAGGGGTACCTAATAAGAGTACCCATAGGGTAATTTTCAGAGAAGGGATAAAGTTAAACTAGGTTCCTAAACCTATTTATATCATAGGTACCAAGTTGGGGTTTCTTGAAAAGGAAGAGGATATAATATTATGCAAGTATTCACTTCAAAAAAACGTGATGAAGAAATAATCAAGTGTATATATTTTATATTTAATTTTTGAAATCTAACGGGAAAATATAATGGGATTGTCATTAATTGATGTTCATATAGATGTCACTGATGTTAACTTATGTTAACATACACAATCGAGGATAATACATAAAACGTATATGGTTGGTATCATCAAAACATTTGCGTTTTATATGCGGAAAATTTGAGAATTGAAACTGGAAAATATTGTAATGAAATCGTTCGTTGTTTGAATTCATAATATTTTATGACAATATAATTAATTCAGCAAATCGCAAGTGATTTATTTTTTTGCAAAAACAAAATTCAAATAAAGGTTTCCCCTCCATCTTCTAACACGATTCGTCAACGCTTTTGGAGCGAAGTGTTATAGTTTTTTTGTTTGTTTTTCCTTACACATTTATACACAACAGTATATTAATGCCGATAAAAATTTCACCAAAATCAATTATACTTACTATTTTTGCTATTTTTTACTTCAACTGTAAGTCCATATATTATACAATCGTATTATTGTTATGATAAACAACTATGCTTTTGCGAAACTAGACTAGTCAACAACCGAGGTGTTTCGTTATACAGCACGTCATACTGCGTATATACTTAGAAATGTTTTGTTTAAAGTTAATAATATTATTACACAACGGGTTTCAAGTATTGAAAAGATAAATCAAACAGAATTTGGAGTGTTTATATTAGCGACTTGGCGGGTCACATCGGTTATGTTTCACATGCATATTACGCCTCACTAATCGAAATTCACGCGTGGAACAAAATATTATTACAACGTTCTAAAAATAACTATTCATCTAATTACTAAATAAATTGTTTTTATTTGTGTAGTTATTAAATACTTTAATAAGAAAAAGTAAAATCGTAGTATATATTTTTACGACAACTATGTATTATTCAGCGCATAGCTTGCTGACATTACTAATAATGATATGCACTAAAATACAATAATTATTATAATAATATAATATCATGCAATTACGCAATTTTTACGGTAAAAGTTTTTTGAAAAATTACAATTTTACTAGTTCGGTCATTGTTGTCGTTTTTTAATTACACATCTCACTGCGTGCGTATAATTATAAGTATTTAGACGTGTGGATGATTTGACAACATATCACTAATTTGAATATTGTTAAAGAATCCGTATAACTACCTAGCTGCCGTACACTATACAGTGTCGTTATTTCCTACTGGTGATAATGAGCTTTTTAATTATGCGTTCACCGTATATATATACCTATAATACCTTTCTACATTATTTCGACTTTATCTTGTTGTCGTTCTTTATGGCATTAATTAAAGACAAACAGGTAAATTGCTTCAAATTATAAAGTGCTGCCCGGAATGTACGAGTCTTGTAAAACTACGATGTAAGGAATGTATAATATAATGTTAGGTACCTTATTTATACACAACCGAGCGTGCTGTATTTAACAGATAAGAAGGTCTCGTGTATAAATGTACAATGGACGATATTATATTAACATCGGGTTACCAAGTTGGTATTAAATTACCTGCGTCGTCAGGTTTTTCGCGGCAAATTTACGTTAAACGATTTCGGCCGTTGCCATTATAATATTATTATGTTTAATAATTATTGGACTCCGCGCGGAAAAAAGTAGCGCGTACGGCCCGCAATGGATAATAGTTCGAGTAGGAGAAGAATAAACAAAAAGTAAAAAAAAAAATAAATAGATGAAGATTAAAAGTATTTTTAAGTTATGAGTAATATAAAATATACATATGTAAATTATAATATAATAGTATAATATTAAAATTAAAAAAAATGCAATAAAGTACCGTGTTGTAATATTATATTATAATGAAACCTTATTATACATTTATTCGTATTATACAGGGTATCCCTCGACGGCGAACTAATATAAAGTGACAGTGTAAAGGAGTATGCTATCTACCACTGTAAAAACTTTAAAAAGTAAATATCTCTGCACTTATACAGTTACACCCAGAAGTTAAAGTGGGAAAAAATTCCAGAGGGGACTAATGTCTCCATATAGTTTTAAGCGTTCCATATATAATTTTATGTATAATGTCAAATGTATAAAATCCTAATTTGTTAAAGAGGACGCTTTTTAACCGCCGTCAGAGGTTAGGGGACTGAGTCCTCCTGCGTCCCCCCCCACTTTAACCCCTGGTTACACCCTATATCTATTGGCTATTATATACGTAACACGAAACTACGTTACAGCAGCGTTTAGCCGTTACAGATGTCTGAAACCAAATTATATCTGCAAATAAATACGATATTGTTATAAAATATAAATTATAATTATATAGAAACAGGTCTAATTATTTACGTGTAGATAAAAAAATAAAAACAATTTTTTTCTTTAAATCAATTTTTTTTTGTTTTTGTTTGTTCTTTAAATGTGATTTTTTTTTGTACCACGATGTTTTATCGAACAATTACATTTACTTGATAAACTGTTCGTCCTGTTCCAGAAACCAATAATCGACGATCGACGTGGAGATGCATTGGCTGTGCAAGTGTGTTGTCGGCTTGGCAGTGTTGGCCTCCACTACCTGGTCAGCGACGCTGCCGAGCGTAACACAAAAATGTGTGCCCCCCGGACCGGGGCTGTCGCTGAACGACTTCCTTTCCGGCAAGTTTTACCTGTTCGAACGGCAGCAAGAGTTCAGCATCAAGCTCTTACAAACTGCCATCACAGCTTCGCCCAAGCAGAACTTGATATTCTCACCGCACAGCATATACACGGCCCTTTTGATCACTTACTTCTTGAGTAATAATGAAACGGAAGAGACGTTAAAGCGTTTCCTCAATATACCACCAGAACAGGTACCTATGCATCGCCATCGAAATCATTGAAAGTTTCGTTATCCTCTATAAATAAAATCCTTCGTTCGTTTGTTAGGTATCTATGTAGTATGTATCATTAAAACCGCTGTAATTAATTGTATTTGTTTCCGATTTATTTGTTAAAAAATAGTAAATCTAGTAAACAGTAATAAAATATGGATAAGATATTATTATTATATTTTAAACATATTGACTTTTTATATCTAATCGTTTTACTAATTCGCAAATTCGTATCAAKTTCGTGATTATTTTATTGATCTCTTTTTTTATTTGATTAAAAAAAAATTAAATTATTGGTATTATATTGGTCAATTTAGATTAATAGATAAACTTAATACATATTATAGTAAATCGCTTAAGCATATAAGACGTATATCATTACAATAAACGTATATAGGTAATAAATGCTTTTTTTTTCTTAGTACGTAAAAATATTTTGATCGGTTTTCACAACATGGTTATGGCTTATTTACCTCTCTTAGGCTATATTATGTTAAAATTCCAGATGAATTATTCAATCATTGATTATAAATTATAATACAGACAATAAGAGTAAATATATCAACATATATTTCGACTATTTCAAATATAAATATTGAAACGACTATAATCATTATTTATTATATAAATATACACGGTTGCTCAGAGGTCTAGAAATATATTTTGTTATAAAGTGAGTAAATAAACTCCAAAGTTAAAACTAACCTTTTAAATTTGGAGTAACAGTATATGTTAACTTGTATACTATTCATTGAAAATGTAGCTTCTTTGATTTTCCGTTTTCCATTTATTATTTCCAACTTTTAAATCAGATTAATTTTGTTTCGATATAGAACTTTTAGTAAGTTCTTGGTATTTTTCAATGACTGCGGAATTTTTGCGACACAAACAGAGTTTTTTCTAAAGATTCACTCCGCCAAGTTGTGGAAATTCTACGAACTCTTTAAAATCGTTTATGAAACTTTGTTAAATTTCGTAGAATATAACATGCAATATACTTAAATTGCAACTAACTTTTTTATCGTTAACTAACCTAATTCATCATTGATGCAGAGCAAACTGAGCGTGATGCAGGCTTACCGTATGGAGAAACTGTTCCACTCGATGAGGGCGTTGAACACCACCGGAGATTACGAGTTCAGCTCGGTGGACCGTCTGTTCGTTTCCAAGAGACTTCCGATACAAAAGTGCATTGCCGACGTGTTCAAGGACGAGGTGCACAAAATGGATTTCGTCGTCGATCCCGAACTGGCTCGCATGTACATCAACAACTGGGTGACCAACCAGACCAACCAGCAAATCAAGGACCTGTTGCCCGAGGGAAAAATCACGTATGAAACGAGACTTGTGCTGGTGAGCAACATTGCATCATAATACAGTATAGATAGTATAGATTCTTATTAATATGTCAAACGTCTTGATCTCTAACTGTTCGTAATCTCTAACTCAATTAAAGTCCCTATTGAAATACATAATCAAAGTTACAATAAAACTCAATATTTCGAATTTTTTTCTGTTCCCCTTGAGTTTCGAACCAATGAAAGATATATAAGATATATAAATAATTATCATATTTTATGATCGGATTTATCGAATATTAATTGATTTATAACAACTTCGACATCACGCTTATTATAGTAACTATAACGGCTATAACGAGTAATAACGATCTGTGTGTTTTTCCACAGGCGAACGCGGCGTACTTCAAGGGCTTTTGGAGCTCGAGGTTTTCTTCGGAGAGCACGAAAGATGAGGTGTTTTACACATCACCCACCGAAAACGCGTATGTTCCCATGATGTGGCAATCCGGAGTTTTTAACCTACGTAAGCATACACCCATTCGTTTGAATGTGAAAAATTGACGTTTTAATATTATATTCTTGGCATATACCTAGATATGACTCGTACCAGCAGCTTTTAGATATTTTACTTTGTCACGAAATATAAATAGATAGCATTAAACGTAATGCACTTAGCAGACTAGGCGGTTTTAAATTTTCATATCATTTAATTGTGCAAGTACATAAGAACGTACTCAGCCAACCATTTAAACTGTATTTTAAATACTTATTAGTTATTATTTCAACATTAGCACCAATGTATATTCTGTCTGATGTCCTCTAAAATAAAGTACACTCTATAAATTTGTTACTTATATATTACATTACTCATTAGTCAGTATCCATGCATATTTTTAATTCTGTTTACGGTGTATAAAATCAGATCGTTGGATCTAAAATTTTAGCAGACAAATATTTTGGCCGGCTGTATTTAAGCCAATTTTTATATTAGCAGGCAAACATTTTGGCCTACAGTATTGTATAGCTGATAGTATAGTTAACAGCTAAATTAAGATTCTGCCAAGATATTTTCGGAACAAATTTTGTTATCCAAAATATTATTTGGCTGAAATATTTTCGTGTGAAATATTATTCAGTCTAAATATTTGTCAGCTGAAATACCGTCATCGAAATTATTTCACATATAATAATTAAATAATTTTTGCAACCTTAAATACATTAGAAAATTCAATGAGGTATTGATTTAACCATCTATATTTTAATATGTTATCAGTTATCACTTATCAATTATCATAAATATATATTTATCAAAGTTTATGTTTTATTTTTGTAAACAATTGCCATCAGACATGGGAAAAAAATAAAAACCGCCACTCCTTTTAATCCACTATTTCAAAACGATATCGTAAACCACACATAATAATACTTGTAACCTGATTTGTGTAGTGAGCTCCGACGAGTTAGGTGCGCATGTCTTGGAACTCCCGTACAAAGGTGGTGACATCAGTCTGTTCGTGATCCTGCCACCTTTCAACAAACAACGTGGAATTAGTCAGCTTAGTAAGAGGCTCAATACGAACATTTTACAAAACATTGTTTCGTCGGGCGAATGGACGTCGCGCCCCGTCGAAGTATCTCTACCCAAATTCAACGTCGAACAGAGCATGGACAATCTCGTTCCGGTAAGTGCAGTTTATAATTAATATAATTATGCCAAATAATTAATGTATTTGTTTTTTAAACAAATAACTTTACTTTTTAAGCACCTGTGGTGGTTAGCCGAATTAAAATAGTTTCTAGAATTAATAACCATTTTTTTAATAGGTAGCTGTGTTAGGGTTAGTTTCTTGTTTTTGAGTACTTTAAAATTAAATTTTATGACGTTATTCAAAGCCAATTGCATAATTAGAGCTCAATACAACCTAATCAATGGTATTACTCTTAAAAAATAATAATATCATAATCTGATAATTTTACAAGGCGCATTATCGTTATTCATGTAAATTTTATTTGATCGTCGAAAAGGTTTGATTTAATTTTTTCCGATTCTTTAGCTGTCGTGCTACGTAACTACAAATTTTGGGAATTATATCTGGGCTTTAGTTGCTCTCTAACCAAACTTGCTTAAACACCCTTAAAATAAAATAGTTCTCACTAATGTTGATATAGTGGTCGGTTGTTAGAATAAAATAATTCTTCAGCTGAAACAATATATTCACGATTCAATCATTATATAATGACATGACATATTCAAAATCATAACTGTGAACTGTCTAACGTGTGTATAAGTTTATGACATTGCAGTATGTCGATAAATCGGTTATTTTGATAAGTGTTAATGATAATACTTCCCAACCCATTTTTCTAAAATCGACTAAATATTTAAACGACGATATAAGATATAAGATAGTACATTTTACTACATAACAAGCATAAAATAATAATGTTATCGAAAGAAATATTTTTGCTCAAAACAATGGTAGAAGGTTTTTAATTTTACATTTAATAAATGTATTAATTTTTGAAAAATGTTTCCTTGTTTAATTATACAATAATTATCTTATAATACTATTAAGTAAAATCTTAATTTCATATACATACCTAGGAGCGAATGGAATTGTTTAATATACATTTCATAAGAATATATTTGGTAGATAAAGGTATCATTAAAAGATATTTGAGGAAATTATCTTTTCGTTTGTCTAAACCCTTAAAAAAAATTTCAGTGATGAAAAATTTAAAAAATCAAGATATAGCACTTTATCTTGTTCTATGCCCTCGGATGCATTATTAAGATTACTAAACGTTTGTCATTTTTTTCCAGCTACTTGAGCAAATGGGAATCGGAAACTTGTTCAAAGGCAACGTCGACCTGTCGGCGTTGACCGGTAACGCGAACGACGTGACCGTCGACGACGCTGTGCACAAGGCGAAGATCTCCGTGGACGAAGAGGGCACGATTGCCGCTGCGGCCACGTCGTTCCTGATGTCCCGGTCGTCCAGGCCGGTCGAGCCCTTCAAGTTCCGGTGCAACCATCCGTTCATCTACTTCATGTTCGACAAGGTCACCGGATCGGTGCTGTTTATGGGCGTTTACAATTCACCGAAATCCGACTAGATTTCAGACGTGGTGTCAACGGTCGTGTCGTGCACTAAAGGATTCGAGACGCAGGACTGTAGTAGTGGGAAGAAACCCTATTATTATGTAGGATTATGATCGATCGCTTATTATTACAACGTGATTATAAGATGTAAATATTTGTATAAGTTTAAGGCCATTATTACTATTATTATTATTATTTGTATGTATATATTATTATTATTTTATATTCTAATTTTTCTCTAATCGTTTCTAATCGATCGCGAGAGATTACCTATATTATGTCCTGTATTTCGAATAACATATAGATCGGATCGCGACTATATACCTACACGGCTACATACCCGCACAGGCGTCACATGTGTCACGTGAAGGTAGTTTCCAAGATCCAAGATTTATAGGTAGGGTGCCACATGACTATGTTATTGTATTATTTTTATAAATCTATGTCTTGGAGTTTCCTTTATATTATTTATTTACCAATAATATGTACTATGATAAAAAAATATTTTTTTTTGTAATATATTATAAACACCATATATTATAGTGTGGCGTCAAATCGACGTGCCACGTGCGCCGTCAAACTTTTTATCAATTTAATAATATTAAATTAAGCCAATGTCACATTTCTCTAACGTACGGTGTTTTTTGGAAGAAGATGTTAGTGTAGGTATAATTTATACGTGTATATATTTATATATGTTTATAATACCTATTACACGGTTATGTATAATATTCGTTTGACATTAATATCATTGTGTTTTATTCGCTTGTTAACAGTTTTATAAGTGAAATGAATTACACGACGATGTACAGTATAATTAGATGTATTATTGACACTCGTGTTCGCAGATAATGAGAGTAAGTGAGACAAGCAGACAGACAGTCAGACAGAAGGAAAAATGGAGGGAGTGAGGGAAGAGAGAATCGGTTTCAAAACTTGAAAGTATGAATTTAATTGAACACTCTGCTGCTGCCATGATAATAATATTAATAATAATAAAAATAATATAATAATGACAATAATATTTTATTGGTTGAACGGAAAGACGTGTGTGCAACAGACCAGCAAATGGTACGGCGTCACTGCGTCAGTATAGGTAAAGTATAATACGCATTATAATTATATTTACGATTTGCGATCGCTTCAAGTAGATTATTCCATTATAGTTCACACAATAATATAATATATTGTATATAACAGTAAGCTCGGGTCTTTATAGGTATATTGTTTGATTGAAAATCGAAAGCGCACTAAAGTTTTTCCCTGCGATCTGCGACCCGACGACTATGATTATAGTATAAGTGTGAAACAATTATTTGAGAAATAGTATCGTTCAACGGCGATATTATTATTATTATTATTATTGTATGAAGAAAGAGAGAAGAATGATAATAATAATAATAAGAAGAAGAACACAACGACGATGCGATGTACATGTTGAAGAGAGAACAAAATGATTATATTTAATATAACCTTGCAACGACACGTTATAATAATAATATGATTCAACGACGCACAATTATTGCAACCTGCCGTTCTCGGCATTAACTAGAAAATTGTATCAGGATAGCCGATAGGCCACAATATGATAAATATGAGAACAATTCTAGTCACAAACCGAGTTTTTAATTTCAATAAATACGCCATTAAGGGCCAGTTGTACCGTCTCTGATTAAAGTTAACCGGGGTTTAATCGGCCGAATTTGCACGGATAAATATCTGTTATCAACTGATTAAGCGTAATCGAAGTTTAACCGTAGACGGTACAACTGGCCCTTAGTCGACATAAAATAATATGTAATCCAACCGTTTAGTGTTTTAAGTATGAAACATTTGATACATTTTATTTGGAAATGTTTCACAAAAACGTGAACTATTGAAATTGTTTCTATTACAAATATTAATGATGATTATTTATCAATAACCTAACCAAAGAAAACCATTACTATGATGAGTTTTTTTTTAGTAATTTAATTAATTTAAAAAAAATAATACTAATCAGCAGTGGTGTTTTTCCTAATATTATAAGTATACAATTGTGAAGGTAAGAAAAGTAAGTTATGACAATTATATGAAAAAATAACACTTATTTAAATATATATATATATATAATATATAAATACTAGACATTTTTTCAATGTTAAATTTCATGAAATTTTAAAACATTACAACCATTATTAGTAGTAAAACCATGGCCTGACTGAGCCTGGGCAGTGAAGTTTCGTCCATGTCCGTTGGCATGACGGATGGTTCCGTTATTTTTTGATAATTTACTATAATGGTTAAACTAACTTTAATGTACTATTTTGGTATACCAGGTGGAGGAGGTACGAATAATATGTTATTTTTTGGATATCACGCGACTGCGATTCGGCAATGTATTTAGACGACATGACCATGACAATTATCGTCATCCGATTTAAATACCGCACCGCACTGCGCGTATATAGATTGCAATCGGTACCTATACCACATTTTATATACCTATAGAGGTTTAGATTTCGCCTGAACCAATTATGAATATTTTGTGTGCGGATTCACACAATGGGTTCGTCGCCGTAGTCCGCGCTCGTTGGTAATTAGCGTAATTAAAAAACGAATTTTGAAAAGTTAAAAACCTATTGTGTTCCAGAATTAACGGCGCCCGACGGGCTGCGCTGTTAAAAATTATAAATACTACACTATTACATATATACTCGTTCGTATATAATATATTATTATCACAAAAACCCACTGCAGTGGTAACGGTCGCCCGAAGCTTTTCTATGATAATACAAAATCATTATGCACAATATTAGGTATCCAAGGCAGGAGAACCACAGAACGTAATAACGTATAATATAATATTATAATAATGTATTATGTATCTACGACAGAGCGCGTTCGAAATATTATCAAAAACATGTTTCCTGTGATGTTACTTCAGTTAAATCTTAGCTCCCTGGATATTTTAGCGCAGGGGGGTGTCGGGGTGTGATTTTTCTAGAATAATTTGACCTCCGGTAAGATATACGAGGGTTATTTTTTCCCTCTGTTAAATGATCCTAAGATAAACACATACCTGGTGGTGGGAGAGGGGTGTAAAAATGTAACCAACCCCATCAATATATTGAAATATGATGTTTTGTTAAAAAGGTAATACGATAAATTGGAATTCAGATAATTTGAGTTTTACTACAGTAAATGTGTACGAGTACTAGTCAGTAGTCAGTGTTAAAAAAATATTGAAATTTGAATGCTAAATATATAGATTCATTACCTACTAGCCTGCAATATTAAAACATGGGCACGAAAATATTAAAAAGTACAAAGTTTACCGAATTTTTTTTAATTTGCATATACGATATACGATATACGAAATATTAAATTTTATTACGTTATAATAAAATACATTCAGAAACCGGCAATGACATTTTTTAGCACGCTCGCAGAGTGAGCTTTTCTGTAACTTGTGAATTATTTCAATCGATTTCGAATGGAACTATTTTACACAATTTTCCTAAAACGTAGTCACTTTGTAGTGTATTTTATTTTATATTTTTTTTTAAATAAATTGGTGTGTACAAAAACCCATCGAATACGACTCAGTTTCGTTTCGTGCACACTTTCGTTCAATTATTCACGTATATCCTTATACATCATGCCCTGAGAAATAATATGCATCTATAATATTTATAGAGATATAGCTTTGACAATCATTGTTCGGAGATGGTTTATTTCAGTTGAAAATTATCGCAAAAAAATGTTTAACGATCTTGCAGTTTTACTAGCAATACACCTTACTTGAGGTAAATTAATTCATGTTTATATTATATTTTATATGTATGATAATTCTTAAAAAAGTTGTATAATATATTAGTGCGCATAAATTAATTTTCATGCACACCATACAATTTTATCTTGTCGGGAAACAAATACTATAGAACCATGAAAGTTGCACAAATTATATATTAAAAATATTAGTTACTCGTTTTTTAAAACTTATTTAAATATTTATTATTTTTCTGGGTAAAAAACACAGTAATTTAAATAATATTAATGGTAAAAATGGTAAATTAATTGTCTTTAGTTTAAAATGTATCTATTTTTTTTAACCTTAAAAAATCGTATAGAAATTCAATTTCATAATATTGTTTCGTTCTTGATTTCAAATAAAAAAATATTAGTTCAAAACGATTAACCAATTTTTTTCATTAACAAACCAATTTATAAAATTACTGTTATTTCTCTGAATCACTACAAATTAATTATTATACATACTATGTAATATATTAGCGGGAAATTATATACTACAGAATCATAAACGTTGCACAAATTATTTATTTAAAAAAAAATTCACTTGTTTTTTRAAAACTAATTTAAATGTTTATTATATATTTTATCGATAAAAAACAAAACCAGTATATTCGCTTTGATTTAAATTAAATTATTGATTGTAGTTTTTTTTTTTTATCTTATGAGCTCATGCAGGAATTCAATTTTATTATATKTTTTGTTCTTGATTTCAAATAAATTATTGTTCAGCTTTAAACGATTATCGGCTATTTTTTTCATTAGCTAACCATTTCCAAAATGAATAATGAATATGTTATTTGTTTGTATCAGTAAATTCGTGAGTATTATATAGTATGGTTACGATATATTTTATTATTATTACCACTGAATATCTCAGCTGGTTGACCTTGTATTGAAATGGGATTTTCGGGAGGTGATAGGGAGTACTTAAATACATATTTTCAGACCAATTTCAAATTTTTAGCTCTCTTGGTACGCGCATGCGCGACACAACTTATTTTTTTWAAAAATCAACCCAATTTTTTTTCTGCAGATTCGGGTAGAGTATTTTTTTTAAACATTTATTGTATAAAAAGTTTTTTTCTATTTTCAAAAGTGACCAAGTATTAGAGTGAGTCAAAATTTGGATTTATGCATAATTCGTGCAAAACAAAAAAAAAAAAATTAAATGTATTAGATAATTAATGTATCGTATGAATTGTTCAAAGTTTTTCCCATCATATTCTAGACATGAATTCAGTCGTCTCAAAAATTCAGTTAAAGTTGTCACCTTAATTTGGTCCTTGCTTAAAGTATCACATTCTGCCAGTATTTTGTTTTTCAAGTCTCGAAGATTGACATGTGGATCTGCATAAACCGCAGTCTTCAAATAACCTCATAAAAAAAATCCAATGGTGGTAATCTGGACATGTGATATTTTAAGTGAGGACAAAATCAAGGCGGCAACTTCGACTGAATTTTTGAGATGACTGATGAAATCATGTTTAGAACATGATGGCGAAAACTTCGACCAATTCATACGATAAATTTATTCCATAAATTTTATTTTTTATTAAAATATCAATATTARTATTATCACTATAAATATTTTGTTGTACATTTAATTCATATAGTTGACGAAATATATCATACGTTAAACATAATGTTTAATTATTCACACTTATTTAATTATTTCCAGTGGTTATAAATGAAAATATCATTAAACAAGAACTATGCATAAATCAAAATTTTGACTTGCTCCAACTTGGTCAGTTTTGAAAATAGAAAAAAAACTTTTTACTCTATAAATGTTTTAAAATAAAATACTGTACCCGTTAAAAAAAAGTAAATTGTATTTCGCATGCGTGTAACGAGAGATCTAAACATTTGAAATTGATCTGAAAAAATAAATTTAAGTACTCCCTATCACCTCCTGAAAACGCAATTTCAATACAAG